CTTTTTTGTAAAAACCGTGTCTTTTTACTACTCAAGGTTGGGATTGTTAGAGAGAATCGTTAATTAAGAACACGATTACAAATGGCAACTCTTGGTCTGGAAATAATCTTGTTTAGAATCAAACCAGTGACCTTCAGATGAAGGCGAGAGTATTATAGCCACTCCACTCCATTATTTTTATTATGTGAAATAAATAATTTAATCTTCAAACCGTTGCGGCTGTTTCAATGGTTATGGTTGTGTGAAAATATATACATTCATTCAAAGCAATTTTTCAATCACTTACACCTAAATTTTAATATCTGTTAAAAATACAGCAAACACAAACATTTTTGACTAGGATATTTACTAATTTGTACTGGATTTGTACCTCCTTGTTAAGGATTCTAAACTTTTCAACGTATGTTGTATGCCAAAATGTAAATAATTAACCATTAATATAGTTTATAAGCTCGTATGGATTAAATTAGGTTATCCGTTTTTATCTACTGTACTGTATTATAAAATAAAAAAACACCTAATTAAATTGATCTGCAAATTATAATACAGTACAATTAACTAACAGCGTTAAAAACATGAAAAATGGATGGATAAAAAAAATATTATTTGGGGAAAATGGTATACAATGCAACGGTAGGATAACAGTGTGTTGGAATACTTAAACTAGATATTTGTTATTAAGATATAAAATTGTCAATAAGAGAATGTTTGATTAAAATACACCTCTCTCCTAGAACTGTGAACGCAAATTGTGCTGCGACTGTGATAATGTTATTGGTCATACTCACCTTAACCACTGGACCCTAAGGCTTATTCTGGGCTAACTGTGCTGGGCTAAATGTGGTGATTGTCATTAAATTGTGGCCAATCATTGCTGCTTAGTGTATTTTAGCTGTCTGTTTTGTACTTTAAAATCTTTAAGTTCAAATAGTAAAAACTGTAGGAACAATTAACTTTTCTTCAAAGGCCTTTTATTTATTTTTATTTTCAATTGCATACACTTTGGAAGTAATAAAATAGTCAGGTACAATTTTAATTATTTTATAAAGTTCAAATTTAACAGTTAAATACTAAGGAACAAGGAGAAAATGTACTTCAGTCATTGGAAATAAGGAAGCAGGGTTAACAATGTATTGAAAACCTTTCACGATACTTTTTTAAACCCCTACAACAACGCTTAAATGCACACAATGTTTCTTTTCAACTTTATAAACCATTAAGACAAAAGGGAAAGAGTGATTGAGTCACTCCAAGTTGGAATGAGCAGTTGTTGTAAGTTGTTTTTAACTTGCTTCTGTATTGTGTTCTGTTGCAACTTCTGAGTTATGGACCACTTCCTGCTTTCTGCCTCCAAACATTGAAAACTTCTTGACATCGCTCCTTCCCATGCTTAAATGTTTGTATTGTTATGCATGCATGCGGAAAGTTTCTGCATGATATCACTGTCTGACTTACAAAGCTTGCGATGACTTTAGCCTTCTTAATCTATTATAAAACTAAGTGTCTGTCTATCTTTTTAACATACAGATACCACTAACACAAATTAGCTTGCATTTTGCACAAAGATAATGTACAGAGTGTTATCATTATATGGCATTGACGTGTATATTTAAGCCTTTTTTGGTGGCTTCAATCTTTCAGTCTATATTTCTTATCAAGCTACAAGTATTTCTGATTTCACTGAAAACACAATTTTTTATATTCCTTTTAGGAAAAAGCCGAGTAATGAATGTAGAATTTTAAGAAAAAGATTTTACTAAAAATCCGTTTGGGTAAATGGAATTTTTATAGTCTGCAGTGGGGGTGGTTACTTTTTTAAATGTTTTTTTAACTGCCACTCAGGCGAGAGAAAGAAATCCAATAGAATTGTATTATCTATCCTATCCTATACTCTTGTATGAGCCATGTTTGTATGCATGCTTGAAAAAACTATCTCGAAAATGGTTTTGACGATTTCCTTCAAATGTTATAATTTATTTCAAGTCTAAAAAAGTTATAGACGACTGCCACTACCTCAGGTAAATTCGTATTTTTCTACACAACTCATCAGAACATTTGCCTTATGGATTGCCAAATAACTATGTTGGCTGGACAAAATAACAAATAAAATTAAAAAAAGGACTATTGTAACATGTTTATAACATGCCATCCACATTATACTAGAAAATTACAAAATACAGTACAAATTATTGATAAACATTACTTGTAACTATTGAACAAAGGTTACACTGAAGATTACTCGATATAAGGGGAAATAGTTGCTATCAAATGCAGTACTGATTATTTTACTTGGCTCTCTCCTACCAAGACTTAATCCCTGAAGTACTGAGGCAAGTTTTGACAAACCTTATTTTAGCATTGAAATAAATTTTTACTAATAAGTAATTTTATGTAAATTTTAATTTAAACAAACATTTTCAATCATCTATTTTATTTTAACAAACTGTCAAAACAGTTTATGTAAATATAGGCATAGATAAAACATATGTTGGTTAGTCTATAGTATAGGCTATAAACGAGTGATATTTACCATCAAATGTAAAATAGAATAATTTGTGAAATTCCACTGAAACTTAAATAATAATAATAACCAAAATTAGTTGTAAATAAAATGTGAGTTTTCTTTTATACTGCTTTTATAATCGAACTAAACTACAGTATACCGTGTCATGCCTCGGTCCCCCGGTGCTGTAGGTGATTGGTGTATTCTTCATAAGGTGAAATCATGGATTTTATTGTTGTGAAATACAGTCATGCTAGAGTCTTTTAAAGAAACTTCGATAGTTAAATCTGTGTGTGTGTAGGCAAAAATCGTTGTAATGTCATAATAATACTTTGAGTGGTGCTTAACCAAGGTTAAGCTTATATTTGATTGAAAATTAAGTATCAAAGATATGTATAAAATAACAAATTCTCTTAAGAGTAAGGGTAAAACTGTACCTAATGATTGTTGGTAAAGAAATAAATGGCTAAGAGCATTTCCTTCTAAAGATGATTTTAAATCAAACTTACTTTACTTGAAACTAAACAATTAAAACGTAATTTAGAACTAGAGATAAAACTAATATTTGATGTTTACTGAGTTAGTTTGAAACTAAGCTAGTTATTGGAACCAGGTTAATGTCAAATCAAACAAGATTAAAATAGTCTCTGAATTCACCTTATTACAAATTCATACTTTACAGAACTTGTTATAAATATCTGGATTGCTTTTGTAGTTTTCTAATGATGACATAATATTAATACATCATGGAACTATTGATCACGTTTCTTAGATGACTTATCAACTTATTATTATGTTACTGTTTGTTGTCAATAATTGACAATTTCATTAATTTTCTGCCTGAATTTAAATACATTTTACTCATAATTTTGTTTTTATTCGAAGTACTTTTGACAATTAAAATAAACTTAAACCACTCTTTTTTGTATCAAAACTGCCAAATTTTTTTGGGGGGAGGACCCCCGCTTGCTGGGAGGTACTTCATACCCCCATAACCCCCGGTGTTTGCCCAACCCCCAAAGATTTGGTGAAATTACGCCACTGAGAATTAACCTAATGACGCATTTTTCTACAGACCCATAAGCTTGTTTCCTATAGTATCCAAATTGTTTGAAAAGGTAATACTCAAAAGGTTAAATTCCACTGTAGATGAATTGAGTTGAATACCAAATCATTAGTTCGGCTTCCGCAAACAACATTCCGCCATATTCAACACCCACAGATTAGTGGATATTATAAAATCACTTATGAGAGAGACCTACTGTTCTGCTGCGTTTTAGGATGTAGGCTACAACAGGCTCGTTATTTTATTTTTACTCGTCTACGTCTCGTGCGTAAACATTTCTCTCGTGTGCAGCAAAGTGCAACTTAGCCCACACAACTAGTTACACAAATAACTATAGCAAGGGGTGTAGATGGGCAAGTGCTCCCCCCGAATTTTGTTTACACAAAAAATGTGTTTATACAATATTTTTTTTTTACATCACAAACTGTATTTTTCTGTTCAGATAAAATTTCTTTGATGATAAATTGTTACAATAGATTCTTGACCATTCTAAATTGGAAGGCTCAGCAAATAAATTTTAATAATCAAGAGGTTTGTTTTATTAGAAGAAAAATTAACTATTTTAATTACAAAGAATTCTTTGTAAATAATGGTTTTCTTTTGTAGCTTCGTATGATGCCTTGGCTACATTTTTGAAGTTGTGTTTCGCGATACAATGAAGTTTACGTTTGACTTGAGTAGCATTGTTGTGGGCCAAACAAATGTCCAGGAGCAAGAAAGTTTTATGATTTTGGCGTGTTGTGTCCGTATTAATGATACAAGCCAGTGATTGGACAAATCAGTTGTCATCCAAGCATTTTTTGTTTGGCCAATTTGTTATAGGTGATGAATGACTGGATGTTTGTAGGACATAATTCATTTACCGTTCTAACTAAACTCAAAAGCTACAGTGCCTAATAGGACGTGTACATCTATAAATTTACCTCCAAAATAGAGAGTTCGCCCGACGAAACTTTGAATTATTTATTGTTCCAAATAGGCCTGCAATCTGATTAAACTTAGGCCTAATTTAAAATACTGAATGCATCAAAATGCATGGTACAAATTTGAAATACCAAGAAATTCTCAACGGACTGAGCTTTTATTTTGAAATCTTATTTTAAAAGTTTTGATTAATCGAATGTTTGAATTGCCAAGAGTAGACTGTAACATGATTGATTGTACATGGTAATGAATGCGAGAAATTTCAAGTTAACATTAATAACCCATGGCAATTTAACTAAAGACAGGGATAATTGTTTAGGTTCACAGCACAAAGGTGTTAAGGATTCTTAACAAACTCCCTGAAGGTGTCAAGCAAACCCAACCATCATACTTAGAAACTATACTTTAGGAAATTGAGTAAAACCAAGTTTATTTCAACCTTTGTTATATTTGAAACAACTTGACATTTAATTAAATAACAAGTGCTTTTTGATAACTAAAGCACTTCATAACATGGACATATAGACGGATGGTTTATGTTTAGGAATTAATTGTTCTAAATGTTATAAAAACACAACCACACAGATGTCAATCACCCGATACAGATGTCTAGGAAACTGAAGTATTTACTTGTTCTGTACTTAATGATTGGATGATTTACGTAAAACAACCTTTGTTTGGACTTAAAATACCAATTGGTAGCATTCGTAAAGTATTATTTTTACCTAGGTTTAGCTCTCCTCATAATGTTAACAATAGACATTTGTAATAAATTTTAATATTATAGATTTTTAGTAATCTATAACATATCAAACCCTTAATTAAATTTTAACACAACCAACCAAAGCCAAAACTAACAGGTTAAATAATTGACTACTACTTCTCTAGGTAGAACTGAACACTTACTTTGAAACATGTCAAATATCTTGTATAACAAAATAAATTATATTTATATGTGCTAAAAATATATGTATTTACATGATAGAATTGGAATTGGTAACAAGAAACTAAAATATCTCAATCATTGCTTTGATAAAGGAAGTTTTTACAATTTGAAGTAGAGTTGTGAATATCACGAAGACGCAGCTGCGATGGCAAGGATTAACAACCACAGACTGACCAGACATTGTTGACTTCCCACTCCCCTTAGAGCTGCAACAAGTCAAAGGGAAAGTGAGATATAACTAAAGGTACTGAAATGGTATCAATATTGGACTTTTAGGGCCCCTCTCTTTAAAAATCTGTCCTGGTGATTTTAAATGAGATCAAAGTTATTTTATGTAACCCGAGAGTTATGAGAATGTAACAAGATGTACCTATGTGGTTTAGATTAAGTCACAGTATATATGGATGGGGTATTAAGCCTGTTTAGGCACAAAGATCTCTGACGATGAGCTCAGCAGTTCACCAATTCACCACGGTCGCTTTTATCAAAGTGATTAGTGGGCAACCTAATCGGCCGCGGAAGGTGATTTAAAATGAATGAGGTCAATTTAATTTTTATTATAGCTCTTGACATTTTGGGGTGAAATAAAAATAATCTTCTTACGCATTATTTTCATTTTTTCAAGATAATTTTCACTTTTAGATATGTATCGGGTCTTTGGTTCAGCTTACGAGTTTGTACCAACATTTGACAAGATGGGCACTTTCAAGCCCCACAAGTCCCACATTATTAGTCAGAATCATTTAACAACAATACATTTTAATTTATAATAAAATACCGTACCTAATATGCCCTTTAAAAAGAAAGACGGTTTCACTGAAATCAAGAACTGTAACTAGCAACTGACATTACTTAAGTATTTAAAAAAGTCCAAGGAAAGAGTAAGTTTATGAAAATTCCTTCGTCTAAAGAAATATTGTTTTCACCTAGATTTCATGTTACGGCTAATCATTAAATTATACCGTATAACCCTTCTTTAGTCTTATATACATTGAGTACATCAGTGTTGCATCAAGCTTAACCTAGTTATTACATGTTATTTACAATCTATTTTCAAAGAGTATAAGACGAGCATTGGTGACGGTTCTTGTTCGTTCCCAGGTCAAATAAGTAAAAAAGATTTTAATTGAAATTGATGAACAATTGATTGATGATAGGTATCGAGTTTCAGCCAAAATATTATTTAGTTTAATTGTGTTTTTAATTGTGACAAAAGTATTTTAAGATAATTATGTTACATTCTTGAGTATAAATTCAAAACATGCTGGTCTTATAGAGTTTTCACCAAAGTTTTTATTCGTACAATCTTATAACTGAAACTTTTCTGGAAAACCCATGTTTTGAAAAATGTGAATTTGAAAAGCGATTAAGGATTGAGTGTAAAACACGCATACAGTTTAATTAGTTCCGTGGCTCTAAATTGAAATTGATTTGTGAGTTGAATTTTTATCAGCATGTCAAGGGAAACAATATAAATAATTTTCATTTTTAAAACAAATTATTCTATCATTTAAAATAAAAATAAAACTTCTAATAGATAGAGATGATCTTTTCATTTTCAATAGTAATGTTTCAAGGTTTATTTTAATGTGTAAAAACGATTACATTACGTTCTAATTAAACACTTCCTTGTTTTTAATACCATCAACAATGTTTATCCATTTTCTATGCATAAGTTTACTTTTTTTTGTATACTTTTCTGGATAAAAATTACGAAAATTACAGTGTGTTTACACAGTAAAACAAAACAAAAACACTATAAACTCATGTCCCCGATGTTCAACTGTTTCTGCTAAGCCAGGAAAATATAAATAATAAGGTGATTAGGAACTGGATACACCTATAAAAAAGTTCATTGGATTTGCCAAAGATTCAACACTGTTTTATCAAATGTTTAGTGTGCATCAGGGCATAAACAAATAATGCATTCTGTTTAGTGAAAGTTAGTACAATGTTACAGTATGTATGTCACAATATGGCGGTATAACTGCTACCACGTTATTTACTAAACATAATCAAACATACTTCTATATTATGTTACAAAACTATTATTGCCACTTTAATGAGTAAACAGGGGTCCATTTACAACTGTGTCGCCAACTTGAGCATCTTCTAAGAAGGTGGGCTGTCCAATTGCTGTTTTCTACTGATACTATTTTTTTTAATATTCTTAGATACTAAGTGACATTTCAACAATACAGCAACTAACCTACGAGGTTAGCCTCACGCAGGGTATGATGAGGGGTTGGCAGCGAGGCTAGGCATCGCACTTTGAGGCGGCCATGATGGAAGTGTTCTGGTCTGAGGACGAGCCTCAGCTCTGCGGAGGAGGAGAGCAGTTGTTGGTGACGCTGTGTCACTGCCTGCGATTCTGACTTTACCTACAACATGAATTGATCATCAACTAAATCTAAATACTCCCGGGATTGTTGTAAATTATTTGACATTGGATATAACTAGACATTCCTTTGCTATATTAAAGTTGTGGTCAGTTTTAGAATAAAAATATCCACCATAGATAGGTATGTAGAATACCTGATGTCCATTGAGGAACCACTGCAGGCGGGGGGCAGGATGGGAAGGACCTGCTGTACAGTTGAGGCTCAGGTCCTGCCCCGTGGAATAGTGAGGCTTTCCGCCACTGATCCTGGGACCCTCCTGGGGCAGGACTGCAATATCGCACACCATTCGTTACATACATAATCAAGACAGTTACTTCATTCATTTATGGTATAAAATGTACCCAAAGGTTGTGCTTTGAGTTTAATTTGTCTCTTGATTTTGAATAGATTTTTATCCAGGCTGTCGGCTGAATGTAAATCGGAATCAAACAAAACTTCTTTATTCAATACATCTTACTAAGATTAGTATTTTACTAGCAGTTAAATTTATATTGTTAAACAGTTAATTAATGAAGACCTGGTTTATTGTACACTAATTATTTTCCAGGAATAAGGAATGGAAGATTACTGATGGAATTCCTAAGTAAGAACTATTTTATTTCAATAAAGAATTGGTTTACTTATTCAACAGAAATACATATAAAAATAAAACTATTATTAAAACATTTAATAATAAAAGTATTATTATTTGTCATGATACAAATTTTAAATAATCTGTTTTTTTAAGTGGCTGATTAGTATGTTACAAATTACATACGAAAACCATAATAATTATTAATGAATTTAATTCATTTGGAGTTATAAAATAAATGGCTGAGTCTTCAACAGTAACAAGGTGAAACTTTTCATGGCTGAATTAAAGAATAATACAGGGGAAAATAATATCTTTAAAGGTCTAGAACAGCTTGAAGTTTACTGAAACTAACAAAATAAATACATTTCTTTCTTTGTAACTGTATATTTTTCAAATTCTAGCGATATGGAACTATATGATGTTCATACACATATTTCTGCGCTTTTGATTCAAGCTAAAACTAGACAAAACCAAAACATAGGTAATCCTAAAACCGGAATACTCGATCCATCACACACCAAAACCACAAAACTTAAAATAAATCCATATCGATATAAAAGAGCTACAATTTAAACAGATATTTTACATTGTTACGATCACAAAGGTTGTATTGTGACATTTTTCATCGTGTTTCACAATGAGACCGAAGCTGGCCACTCGTAAGCCGCTTAGCTGCCAAAACTGTCCCCATGACTAATGGGAAAAGTTGGCTAACACGTTTGGTAACTACGTTTAATCTGTATAATTGATTAATACACTCCCGGGGACGTCACGGCCCAGGTGATTCATGAGTTGGTGATACGGTTGGTCACACCTTTACGTTCACGCCTCATCTGCGCTATTGTGTTATACAAACGGAAACGGAAATGTATTTAAGCCATGATTGTCCAGCTGACTTAAAAGTTTTATGTAGTGGTTTAATCAGCCTTTTTTGTACAAATTCTAATTAGTTGTTTGTTGTTTCCTTGGAATATTGATTATTCGCTTTGAACTGAATAACTGATTATAATTCAACAATTACGTTGAAAATTTGTTTATGAGCAAATTAGGGCTTATCAGTGCAAATTAAACACTGTTGTCAAATTACATTTCGCTAAACAAAAAATTTAAAGTAACTTTTTCAAGGGGGCGCTGCACCGTAGAGTAGTTTTTTTGCTGTGGATTTTATATTGGTGTTTTTCATTAGTTTTGTTTAAAGCATGTCTGTTAGCTAAAGCATCAAAAACAATAGCTGTAATTTAAATTGTAATTTTGAGTAGTTTTAGTATCTGTATGAGAAGTATCACAATTTATATCGCTAGCGAAATAATATTCGTTGACAACTTTATCGGAGAATGTTTTGACGAGGGATCAGCGAGATGAATACAAAATTCACAGATTACCACATATTGTTCCCAAGGGTGGCCCTCGTAATGGCAACAGTTTAAAGTTTTATGTACTTCATACCCTTCAACAAACAAGATTCATTTCACTTTCTACGCAGTAGATTTTGCCAAGTAATTTCAAACCAAGAAACGCAAGGACTGCAGAATTAACCACAGATTAACACCTGAACTGAAGTAGCCTCATATTAATTAATTTACAAAATATTAATGTACGAATAATAGGAGATACTTTTTGTCATTATAATACTAAATATTAGTTTTCAAACATACGAGAAATATATTTTTATTAAGTCTTACCAATTTCCACTCAAATATTCATTTGTTAGTCTTAAATGTTTTTGGCAAAAAAGTAAGTTTGCTTTTTAAATCTAATTATCTTTTCAATAAAAGGGTTATTTAGGTTATGTAATAGGTTTGTGTTACTAGTATTGGTTAGACATAATGACAATGAGTATCGATCTAAGTTTTGCCATTTGCTTTTAAATGTAAAAATATTACTATAGAATATGAGTTAAAATCGATTTTCAGTTCTTTAAGTTATTTAAGGCCAATCTGGTAGTTACAAAAATAAAAGGTAATATATTATATAGCCTAATTATATTTATGAATTCAAAGTTAAGAATAAATTTGTGTCCAAATATAAATAAGATGAATATTTTATTTTAGTTTTTTATACCATAAAAATCTATTTGGTATACAAAATTCCAATAGTTAAACAAATTATATTATTCATATTGGCTTTATTACAAAGTGGCTGCAAACAAAATAAATCAAAGATCGATCTATTCTGTTGGTGACTCAATTCAACCATTCAATCACGTCCATTTTCATTCAACAACTGGTGCCAAATTTATGGTTCTGGAATTTATGAATCTTAGTCTCAAATGCAAACAATGAAAACTTTACTGTACAACGACAATGAACTTTTCCTATTCTTAATAAATTCTAAGATATACGCATGAAAGTTGTTAAAATCTAACCAACGACACTCATCCAAGCCTGTCCGTGGACTGAGGTGAAGTATGGAGCCTCTGCTGACACCTCACACATGTAAAGTCCGCTGGCCTTCAGAGGGACTGACAGTAGTACCACCTTTGCAGCATCCGACCTCTCGAGCTGATAGAAATAAAAATCCTTCATTACTGATCACAGGTCAGCTAAACACGTGCACTTCCGCTTATCAATCCTTGTGAACAATCCGAACCAACAATTATTGACTCCTTGTGAGCAAAAGTTTGAGTACTCTACACTCATTTATACTGTTTTGCTTGGATTCTAAATAATCTTTCAAGACATCATATAAGTCAAAATATATAAGACAACAAGAACATATATACATATATGTATACATATACATATACAAGAACAACAACATATGTAAGACAACATATAAGTCTGGTATATTAAACATTTTAAGTTTTAACTTTCTCTTGTTATTTATTTGATCATTTAATCTGTTGCTTCAGCTACTCTAATCGAGTTGAAATAGTTAATAGTTAATCTAATCAGTACACAGACAATTTTTTTACCATGATAAACTCATAGTGATTTCATGTCTAAAATAATTATTCATTCTTTAAAATTGCGAGTAAAAATTATAAGAGTAAGGAACAAAAGACTGTAAGGAAATTTTGACCAGCTAATCTATGCAGACTAATGATGTTTGTAGTCTGATTTATCGATGTTTCTAATTAATATTGCGATTCATCAGACAAGGCAGTGTTCTAATATTCAGCGGAAGCTACTTTATTAAATTAGTCGAAGACGACATCATCTGCTGGTGAATAGCACCTACTTTGGAACGTTACTCAATTGCTACGCAATACATGTTAGAATATAGATTATTTATTTTCCGTTTTAGCTATTTTATACAATTTAGAATTGATAAATATTTCCAACATATAAAGTCTAACTTCTGGCCAATAATTGGACGAAAAAGTAAAAAGAAGGCAAATGTTTTGAGGGGTTGAATTGAATTTCATTATGAATGCAAAAAAGGTGTAGAAAAATATTCTTAACTGAAAGCGAGAGAGTTACGTATGCTAAAATGGCTTCAAAAGTTTACATTGACTGACCCCACTTTGCATTTACATTTTGCTCACCAATTGAAACGTCTCTCTGAAAGTGAGTTGGGAATTCTTCACAATGTAGACTAAAACTCTAGGCTTTATACGAACGTTTCCTCAAATGCAATAAACATCAAAATGTTGCTTAAGTACTTACACTCTCTAACTAAAGAACTTTATGTTTTAACCTAATCAAAGAAACAGTAATTTAACTGAAATTTTGGGTAGACGATATATTATTAATTTAAACAATAATTACTATTGTTTAAATTGACCATACAATTGAAATATTACATTAACAACCTTTTTTGGATAAAATACTTTTCATTCAACTCCATTAACTATATTTAAAATTTTTAAAAACACCACAAAAAGTGTTGCCCAACATTAAATTTAACATTTTAGTTAACTTTCTGGAACGTTTCTGACGTTTCTTTCATTTGGCCAAAACCATGAAAAACATAGTATAAACATTGGTCTAAAATCCCTGGTAGATTGACTTCAAACTTACTGCATAAGTAGTTGCAGATATGACCAACCTTTATACTAAGTATCAGATTTATAAATTTTACCAATTTAAAATGGCGGCCATTTTAAATGTTTGATCTTAAATATCTTTAAAATCAGTGATTAAACTAAAACTAACAACGGCATATCTGATAACTAATTTGGAATATTCTGAACTAACTGTTAATATGTACACACTAAACAACAAATAAAGATTAAATTTAAAACGGATATAAACTCACGTCAACATTGATGCCTTCCATCTTGTGAACATGTTGAGTCGGAGTTCCTCTTGGTACAAAGCGGTAGAACTCCATGTAGTCCTTATACCAGGACACAGAGTACAGTCTGTCTCCTTGCAGTTCAAACCTACACAACAGCTCTACGTCTTGGCCAAGCTCAGGGTACTGTGGTACTGACACCCTCACCATTCTCAGTCCCCACCCTGTAAAACACCAACACTGTCATTGGTAGAACTCCATGTAGTCCTTATACCAGGACACAGAGTACAGTCTGTCTCCTTGCAGTTCAAACCTACACAACAGCTCTACGTCTTGGCCAAGCTCAGGGTACTGTGGTACTGACACCCTCACCATTCTCAGTCCCCACCCTGTAAAACACCAACACTGTCATTGGTAGAACTCCATGTAGTCCTTATACCAGGACACAGTACAGTCTGTCTCCTTGTAGTTCAAACCTACACAACAGCTCTACGTCTTGGCCAAGCTCAGGGTACTGTGGTACTGACACCCTCACCATTCTCAGTCCCCACCCTGTAAAACACCAACACTGTCATTGGTAGAACTCCATGTAGTCCTTATACCAGGACACAGAGTACAATCTGTCTCCTTGTAGTTCAAACCTACACAACAGCTCTACGTCTTGGCCAAGCTCAGGGTACTGTGGTACTGACACCCTCACCATTCTCAGTCCCCACCCTGTAAAACACCAACACTGTCATTGGTAGAACTCCATGTAGTCCTTATACCAGGACACAGAGTACAGTCTGTCTCCTTGCAGTTCAAACCTACACAACAGCTCTACGTCTTGGCCAAGCTCAGGGTACTGTGGTACTGACACCCTCACCATTCTCAGTCCCCACCCTGTAAAACACCAACACTGTCATTGGTAGAACTCCATGTAGTCCTTATACCAGGACACAGAGTACAATCTGTCTCCTTGTAGTTCAAACCTACACAACAGCTCTACGTCTTGGCCAAGCTCAGGGTACTGTGGTACTGACACCCTCACCATTCTCAGTCCCCACCCTGTAAAACACCAACACTGTCATTGGTAGAACTCCATGTAGTCCTTATACCAGGACACAGAGTACAGTCTGTCTCCTTGCAGTTCAAACCTACACAACAGCTCTACGTCTTGGCCAAGCTCAGGGTACTGTGGTACTGACACCCTCACCATTCTCAGTCCCCACCCTGTAAAACACCAACACTGTCATTGGTAGAACTCCATGTAGTCCTTATACCAGGACACAGAGTACAGTCTGTCTCCTTGCAGTTCAAACCTACACAACAGCTCTACGTCTTGGCCAAGCTCAGGGTACTGTGGTACAGTACTGACACTCTCACCATTCTCAGTCCCCACCCTGTAAAACACCAACACTGTCATTGGTGATTAGGGTAGCCTATTACCATTCGCTTTTGGATACTGAATTATGCAATCTATCAAGGTATATATTTTCAAGTATTTAATTTACTCTTTTATAATATTTAGGATAAGTAGATAGGAGAAAATGTACGGGACCTAAAAATAAACTAGCTGTTAGCCCGTCCTACGTACGGGAATCAAGTAGTCGATTAAAACTGAATATAATTCAGAACTGCTAGTGTACACCCATTAACAAAGATTCTGGAAGTTTTCTTTCATGCGATTATCTGATAGGCCTATACGATATGCATTTTAAATCCAATAATTTTTCAATTGCTGTTTTATTGTAAAACTATCGGATTTAAAATGCATATCGCTGTGCCTTCCGCCTGTCCTTGGGTGTCGGAGGCGGTGGGAGCGGATGAGTGGCGATCGGCAACTAAACGATGGCCGCCACCCGCGCGGAAAGCAACCAAGCCAAAGCGGCGACCGAGGCCATACTGTGCGGAGGAATGCTGTGCTGAGCATCGCAATTTACTGGTCGCTGTAGCTACATACCACCTTCAACTGCATATTATCACTTACCGTACCTTATTTTACCTCAGTGGCCACTAAAACCTTAAGAGGATTTTGGCGTCCCATTCTCCTCTATCCATTTCATCTGCTAATGTTGATCCCAGTCTGGAGAAGTCTTTCCATTGCTTGGTCCTTCAAGTGGTCGTCTTATTTGTGGTACTAATTGGAATACATTTGTATAAGTTAATGTATCTTCTCTTCTCCACGCATATCTGGGCGTTTAAATATTCCTCTTAGCTCTCTGGTCTTTCGTATCTCAACCTCCGTTATCACAAATGACCTAACCCAGCAATAAGGTTTTTCGGTTCTTTGGTCAGTGCCCATGTTTCTGAACCATACACTGGCATAATAATATGGTATGGTATGAATCAAATTTCGTGTCTACTGACACCCTACAGCTTATTGGACAGTTTTCTAGAGACCTACTACACTGGTTTGGTTGACATTTGATTGGCCAATCAAAAATTTGTTATGCAACATAGTCCTGACATGATTAAATAAATCGTCCATACCTATCCTTTATACCAATTTCACTGCATTAATTGCTAAATTAATTAGTAATTTGGTGATAATTATTTAATATGTCTACAATGGAATATCTTGTAATTTTTAGATGTCTACTTACATTTATTTTCACGCGGAATCCAAAAAAGGAATCTGTTTTTGTCGGAGAGATCCCTAAGTGACCGTACAATTTAATAATTTAAATCAAGCCTCAGTTTCGTTGAGTTATTCAGGTATTTGTGGTTTCGACGATTCCAAGAGTTCTAGTCCTTTTGAAAATTAAGCACACAAATACAGCACTGTACTGCTAAGAGTTCTTATAATTAAAGTTTTTACATTTTACCATAACCATCTAATACAAAATGATTGTTTAAATTTCAAGTTTTGAAAACATTTCTGAATTATTTATTTACTCTTATATACTAATACGTTTTGACCTTTTAAAATATTGCAAACTTTTAAGAAAACAATGATGAGTTTGAATATTTCATGCTTCTTACTTTTTTCAACAAGAAAACCTCTTTATATTATCGGATGGATCAAATTTTATTTGATGGGGAGATTTCATTACAGCATGTACGTACAGAAGATTAAAAAGAATATTGTTATTGGTTTTGTTTGCGTATATGTTTTCATAATTGTGTATTATTTTTAATTAATCTAATTTAATAACTTAAAAATTTCCTAATTAATGTCTTATTATTTCTTTATACAAGTTGTCCCTAAATTACTGTTTAAAGTTTGAAAAGAGTATTCTGTATGATAAAACAAATAACTTTTACCACAAAATCATCTTCCTTACTGACACAAATTAATTTTTATTATCTTTTAAATATAACCTTCAGTGTTAGATAAGTCTATTGGAAAACATTTTTCTTCCGAAACTGTTTTATAAGTGCATTTCATACAGTAGATTTCAATTATAAATCTTTTGTTTTAAAATATCTTAAAACATTATATTTTACATATAAATAACATAAATACTTACATATGTTAACGTTCACGATAAGAGTGGATATATAAAATATGGTCAAGTGACAGTAGCTCAGTTCCCTTGGGTCAATTCACACCTCAGTGGACCTCTGGTTTTTTGCAAGACATTTGTCATCCTGTCGTGGTTATAGCAAACACAAAAACCTGTCACTGGTTAAAACACTGACAGTTCACCATCAGGGGACATGACAAATCACACAGTACCTGAATAAAATAGTGAAATCCTACCATTACTTACAGTTGTAGTATATAGGAATAGTATTTGTGAGGTTAGCAGCAAACTAGTTGTTCATAAATCTAGTGAGATTTAAATAGGGATTAAGTCTGAAAAGTTTAAGGAAATAGTTTATACTTAGTAAGAATCCATTTAGGCAAATGTAAGTTTGCTAAGTCTTCGTGTTTTATACGGCGGAGATATTTAATTTACGTTTACTAAAATTAGATGATGATAAAAAATGCAAATTTCAATAAATGCAATAACAGAAATTATTGTGCTGGATTAGAGAGTTTAATGTCCATATCCTATATCCCTATGTATACGAATAATTAATTTGAGAAAACCACAGTATAAGAATGTACATTTTCCATTTTATTGTTATCCTGTTCACATTACTGCTTTATAATATGATTAGTTCAACTGTTGTTACATAAGAAATACTAAAACAGAGTTATTAAGTTAATTACAGTTTAATGTTATGTCTTTAAAATGGCAAAGAATGAATTTGTCTTAGCTCGATATTTGCAGTTCTGATAAAACCAACAAACCTGTTGTTCGGTCTTTACAAAATTACACATTTTTCTTGTAATGCCTAGAATAATTTAAGCAGAGCTAAATTCTTCCAGCACATAACTTAATTTGTCGTAACATACAACTGTTTACGGGGATTAAAGTTCATATAACAAACTCATTAATTATTATTATAGTATGAGGTTAAATGGCCGCCATTTCAAAGTAATAAAGTAAAAGTTGACGGTTCTCCTATATCATAGAGCTTAGTATAGTATCTTCATGGTTTTTTTCTTTAATAAAACAAAAAAACACAAATCAACCACAACGTAAACATTAGCTACTGATGTAAAGGTTGGAATTGGAAGTAAAGGGAACAGTCGGACAATGAATAAAATTTGTCTGCAGGTTTAACACAATGAATATTTATATCAAGCTCTTTAATACAAAAAGGTACACGTAGGCTTGTCATCAAATGATGAATGACTGAAAAATGAAATATAGTTGAGACTCATATTGTTCAACAATCAACATGAGTAGTTTTCAATTTAATAGAAAAAAATTATACTTTTTCTAACAAATTACCCTTAAAAACATTAGCGTTGTTTGATTTTTTTATCAAATCATCCACTACAGGTGAAAGGGTCTTACAATGGTAATACTTTGAATATAGTAATAGTAATCTTGTAGTCTTGTTAGTGACTAAGGCCGACATATTCCTTTGACACAGCTATTAATCAATAGCCCATACAGCTAATGGCAACTAATGGACCTACATTTTAAAGTGGAATTCGAACCACATTTTTGCCTTGGTATTAACGAATTGGTCTAATTATCAGGATAGTACTGCGGATAGTCGTAGTACTCACTAGTGCGGACGTTAATCTACACCGGGGAGTATCGTATCCACAGTGCATCCAGTGCATGCCTATATATATCCACAATTCGTGACCCCCCTAGTAGCTGGATTACAGTACGTCGCCTCCGTCCCAGTATCAGTCACAGAGCAAAGAGTAGCAAAAATAATA